TACTCAGGAGGCTGAGGCAGGAGAATTGCCTGAACCCAGCAGGCGGAGGTTGCGGTGAGCCGAGATCGCGCCATTGCACTCCAGCCTGGGTAACATGAGTGAAACTCCGTCTCAAAAAAAAAGAGATGGGTTCCAGGAACCCAAATGATGAGAATCCCATTAGACTTCCTAGCTGTAATGAGTCAACGAACTTCCTGGAGTGTTTACCTTACAGTAATCCCCCCTTATCTACATGGGATACATTCCAAGACCCCTAATGGATTCCTGAAACTGCAGACAGTACCAAGCCCTCCTGTATACTACATTGTTTCCTACACATACATGCCTATGAAGAAGTTTAACTTATAAATTTAAGGGCAGGAGTTCAAGAGCAGCCTAGGCAACAAAGTGAGACCCTGTCTCTACCAGAAATTTTAAAATTAGCCAGGCGTGGTGGCACTCACCTGAGGTCTTAGCTACTTGGGAGGCTGAGGTGGGAGGATTGCTTGAGCCCAGAAGCTTGAGGCTGCAGTGAGCTATGATTGTGCCACTGCACTCCAGCCTCGGTCACAGAGCAAGACTGCCTCTAAGTAAATAAATCATTTACAAATTTAATAAATAGAAACTTACAAATTAGGCAAGGAGATTAATAATAAATAAAACAGAATCATAACAATATGCTGTAATAAAAGTTATGTGAATGTGATTTGTTTCTCTCAGAATACTATAATATTTTCTCACCATGGTTGACCTCCAGTAGCTGAAACTGTATAGAGCAGAACGGGGGCTCGGGGATAGTGTACCTGGGTTTCAATCATTTGAACAGAGATAGTTGTCGCTGATGCCACCCCTAAGACTCACTAAGCATCATGACTGAAGGTCCCCCATCACGAGCCAAGTCTGAGAAACAAAAGTTAACCAGGTACCTGCTGCCACAGACCACAGGAGATAAGGACGGAACCCACCAGGCCATCCTGGGCACGTGGTCACTCCCCAAATTTCTGCTCACCAGGATATAACTCCTAAGAATCCCAAAGAGCTGTCACCACAATTCCCAACTTGGAGTCACTTACAGGAGGCTCTTGAAAGCTGAGGCTCTCATATGCCTTCGCTGGTCCTGGTTCTAATGTCAGCAGTAGCCAGTGGGGGCGGCTCACACCTATAATCCCAGCATTTTGGGAGGCCAGGGCGGGAGGATTGCTTGAGCCCACGAGTTGACCAGCCCGGGCACAGGAGATTAACAAGAGATCCCATCTCTTAAAGTGTCGATAGCACACAGTTCTGGTTCCCACGTCTCGTCCTGACACTTCCCGCAC